CACCCCCCCCCAGCAGGAATAACCACCCCCAAGGGAGCTCCAGCGAAGAGGAGCCCAGAGGGGACGAGGACATGGCCAAGCAGCAGGGAAGCTGGGAGCCCGGGCACAGAGAGGAGGCAGAACGGGCCCCGAGGCTCCACGTAGGGCTGGGGGATCCGTGTCCTGCTCCCAAAGGCAGTGCCAGAGGTTACATGGCCAGGTCCCAGGACCTTCTCCTGCACCATCACTGCAGAGCCCTGGGAGTCCCCTAGGAGCACCCATGCTCAATGGTAGCTTTCCTTTGATGGTAGCTTTCCTTTTCATCGCTGGCCATTTCTTCCATTTCTCTTCAGCATCTTGTAGAAAAAAAATCCCACCACGTGCCCAGGGAAGGATGGGATTTAGGGAGAAACCTGGCAAGTGACAAGTTAAGGGGTGTGTGCTCTGTGCTGGGGCGCCAGGCACCTGCTGAGCAGGGGGCCATGAGGACAACCCCTCTGGCACTGAGCCCTTCCAGAAGTGATCTGATGCTTGTCCTTGTGGCACTAATGAGTGCCAGTGGGTCAAGGCTGTCACTGCCCTGGGCAGGTTCCCAGTCTAGCCAGTGCCCAGGGCACCCAGCCCTTCCAGGTAGCTACTGGGCACCACCAGCCACTTCTCCTCCATGGCCTGTTTGGCTGCAAGGCTTGATGTCCCCATGATGAGGACCATCTGGAGCCCCCCGTGAGGTTGAGGATCATCATGATCCCCTGTGCTGGTGACTTCCCAGCCTCTCTTTTACAACAGCGGATTTTCCACCCTCACTGGCGCCTCTTGGGAGACACAGGACCAGTCCCTCCCTTGCACCACTGTGTATCTCTCCTGGGACGAGGCATGGGGTGCTCTCCTCACCACGGCACGATGATGAGAGCAGACCTACGATGAGGTCCCACCTTTCAGCTGTTGCTGCAACGAGATCTAACTTCTCCTGTCTCGTTGCCTGCAGGAGCTGGCGTCGGTGTTCCTGGCATTGGCGGTGTTCCTGGTGTTCCTGGTGTTCCTGGCGTCCCCGGTGTCCCTGGTGTCCCTGGTGTCCCTGGTGTAGTCCCCGGCGTGCCCGGTGTGGCTGGGGTTCCTGGTGTGGTGCCTGGTGTCGGAGGTGAGCAGACAGGCTGGCACAAGCCGATGGGGGGGTGGTGACCTCACCAGTCCCCTGACTCCCTCCCTTCTGTCCCTGCAGTGGGTGGCCCAGAAGCCGCAGCGGCCGCGGCGAAGGCTGCAGCGAAAGCCGCGGCATTCGGTGAGTCACTGTTATCCTTTCCCAGGGAGGGAGGAGGGATGCTTGCAAATGGGCAAGGTGGGGGGCACCCCTGGCACTGTGGATGGTGGGGAGGTCGGCAGGACCCCTGCCTATGGAGCCTGCCTGCTCAGCTGCATCCCTGAATCTCTCTGCAGGAGCAGGGCGCGTGCCCGGAGTTGGCGTGCCCGGAGTTGGTGTGCCTGGAGTTGGTGTGCCTGGAGTTGGTGTGCCGGGAGTCGGTGTGCCGGGAGTTGGTGTGCCCGGAGTTGGTGTGCCCGGCGTCGGCGTGCCCGGTCTGGTGCCAGGTGAGATGGTGTCTAAGGGATGCTCGGGATGTCCCCAGCGGTGCTGGCTGAGGGGTGCTGGCATGGCTGCCCCAGCCCATCGCTGCCCCTCACACTCCCCCTCTCTCCCAGGAGGTCCAGCAGCCGCCGCTGCTGCCAAAGCAGCCGCCAAAGCAGCCAAGTACGGTAAGCCGAGATCTCTCTGTGGTTATCCCACATGTCCTGTCTCCTGCCACCTCCCCAGCCCAGCTGTCATGGCTGGGGCCTGGCACTGCATAGGGTCCCTGTGGGTCAGACCGAGGGATGAGGTCTCCGTAGGGCTGTATGTGGGATGAGCTCCTGGCTGTGTCAGGGGGTGCTCTCCAGAGAGCTGGTCTGCGTGGAGAGTCCTAGGTTCATCATCTGTACACCTTCTCATACATTAGTCCATCCACCCTCCCTTCTACCCACCCATCCACACCACCAGCTAGCCAGCCAGTCACCTCAGTATCCAACTGTCCGCTCATCTGTCCATCCATCTGCACCTCCATCCATTCATCCCTCACCCTCTGTTCATCCATCTCACCATGCATCCGTCCATTCCACCATCCATCTATTCATTCCACACCCATCCACCTCAACATCCATCCGTCCATCCATCCATCCATCCATCCATGCATCCATGCATCCATCCATCCATCCATCCATCTGCCCACCCCAGCCTGCCACACTTTTTCAGCTGGCTCCTTCCACCACCTCTCTTCCTGAGCTGAAGCCCCAGTCCTTCCCTCTCTCCTTGCAGGAGTAGGTGGCCTTGCTCCCGGCGTGGGTGGCCTTGCTCCTGGCGTAGGCGGCCTGGCTCCTGGCGTGGGTGCCCTGGCCCCTGGCATTGGAGGTGTCCCAGGTGAGGAGGAGGAAGGCGGGTGGTGGTGGCAGCCTGGCTGGTGCGGGGGCAGGTCTGGGACAGGACAGGCGTTAGGAGGACCTCTGTGGTCTCCATCAACGCATGGCCATCCCTTGGGGGATGCAGAGAAGGTGGGAGGGATGGGCTCTGCTCAGCATTGCTGGAGAGACCCGCCCCAGGGACACTGACCCCCCTCTTGCTGTCTCTGCTCAGGGGTCGGAGGTCCAGCCGCAGCAGCAAAAGCAGCAGCGAAGGCAGCCAAATTTGGTGAGTTGGCTGGAGAAGCCCGTCGCTCGTGGCACAGCCCATGGCAGGCAGCTCTACCCCCGCAGTGGGCATCTGGGGTCTCCCCATGAGCCCTGGTGTGGCACAGACTGGTCCAGGGGGAGCTGGGGGACTTCAGGGGTGGGCACCCCATGCCGGGCACATCATCCCACAGGATTATGGGAATCACAGAGGGATCACCCCCACGCTTCCTCACCCCCTCTCTCCGCAGGTGCTGGCGTTGGAGGGGTGCCAGGCGTGGTGCCCGGCGTCACGGGAGTGCCAGGAGTGACACCCGGTGTCGGCGTCGTGCCTGGGTTGGTGCCGGGCGTGGGGGTACCCGGTGCTGGCATCCTCCCTGGGGCAGGTATGTGCTTCCCGGTCGGGGACCCGCATGGGGACAGTGGTGGCTCGGGATGCTAAAAGCCACTGAGCCATGTGGAGGGGTGACGGGGGGGAAGCAGATGGGATGGAGGATGGTGGCATGTGGGAGGGGTGACCGTCCTAACCGCGGTGTCCTCATTTGCTTTGCAGGCATCCCCCAAGTAGGGGTGCAGCCTGGTGCTAAACCTCCCAAATTCGGTAGGTATCTCTGCCACCCTGCCCCAGGTCCACCTCGGACCATCACCAGGCACCCTCCGTGTGTGGCCATCGGGGTGCTGGCCTCCCTTTGTGTCCCCTGCATGTCCCCTAGTGTCCCGGCAGAGGGTGGCCCAGGTGTGGGTGCAAAGTGCCACCCGTGTCCCCTTCCCTGGACTCTCTGGGGACATTTTTCTCCTGCTCTGCATTGCCTGCAGCAATGCCTCATGCAGGGGGTGAGCGCCCTGTGGGTCTTGTTGCTTTGGGTGCTGCGAGATGGGTGCCGGGGACACTCAGGATGGGTGTCAGGGCCACCCCAGTGGCTGGGGGTGCCCTGAGCTGTGGGTGCTGGGCTGTGGGGGACAGGGGTTAATGGTCTCTCTCTGGCAGGTGTTCCCGGGGTTGGAGTCCCAGGGGTCGGCGTCCCAGGTAGGTGCTGAGCCCAGGCAGCGGGGATGTGCAGGCAGAGGGGTGCTCCCCCAGAGGGGTGCTCCCCCAGAGGGGTGCTCCCCCAGGGAATGGGGGGAGTGGGGCTGCCCGAGGAAGGACGGGCACACGTGGGGCTGGCGAGGAGCGGATCAGATGCTGCCCCGCTGGTGCTCACCCAGGGTCCCCCTCATAGGTGGCCTTGGAGTCGGTGGCCTCGGAGTCGGTGGCCTTGGAGTTGGTGGGCTCGGTGCTGGTGAGTGATGCTGGCCCTGGCATGGGGGCTCGCCAGGGCTGGGGTGCAGGGATGCAAGCGGCAGCAGCACGCTGGCAGAGTGACAGAAGGGAAGGGGATGTATGGGGTGCAAGGGATGCAGGGGATGCAGGGTTGCTTTTGTCCCCTCCTGGTCCCCACGGCACGGTCCCACCCCACACTGTCACCATGCCCTGTGCCCCATCTTGTGTCTGCCACCTGCCCAGCTCCCGGGGTATGATCGGAAAGAAATGCCGCCTCTGAGCAGGTACCGAGGGCCATAGCACCAGCATTGCCATGCCATGTGGACAGGGGATGGTACTGTACCATGTCCCCAACAAGCGGAGATGCAGGTCCCTGCCTGGGGACCCTCTAGGCTCATAGCAGGGTCTGGCTGCAGCCCTGGGGGCAGCGAGCCCCGGTGGGGGCTGCACTGACGCCCCTCTCTGATGCAGGGATCCCATTCCCAGGAGCTGTTGGGAAACCTCCCAAGCCAGGTAAGGAAGAGGGGATGCTCTGGCCAGGGGGGCTGGAGGAATGACCCCCATCCCTGTCCCCATCCCTGTCCCCATGGTCCCTGCCCTCACCAGGGCTCTCCCATCCCGCAGGTTTTGGTGTTGGGGGGCTGCAGCCAGGTGAGTGCTGCGGTTTGGGGCTGGGTGGGAGCATGTCCCCTACCATGCCATGCACATTCCCGCTTGCTGTCCCCCCCCTGCGGCTGTCCCCCGCTGGGCACGCCACTGCCCAGGAGAGCACCCCAAAGCCAGACAGGTGCCCCGGCAGGGACAGGGGCTCTTGCAGCGGCTCCTGTCCCTGCAGTGAGCCAGGGTGTCCCCAGCCACGGCATCCCCAGCCACAGCGTTCCCAGTCATGGTGTCCCCAGCCAGGGTGTCCCCAGCCAGGCAGGGTCGGGGTAGCACTGCTGTCACAGGCTGTCACCGGCTGTTGCTTTTTCCCCAGGGGTTGGAGTTCCCGGCTTTGGCGTGTCACCGATATTTCCAGGTACCGTCACCAGCTTGGCGCCTTGGCAGGCACCCGGGGCACATCTCGGTGCCCTGCTGGCTTGTGGGGACATGCACAGCCCATGGAGCACGGGGACATGGTCACGGTCTGGGGAGGGACCCAGGGGACCGGGCTGAGTAGGGGGATGCTCAGATGGGGGTGCAGGGCAGAGCAATGGGGGTGCCCGGCGGGTGCTGACGGCTTCGCTCTGCTTTCAGGTGGGGTTGCCGGCCAGCTGGGATTTGGTGGTGAGTGTCCATCCCCTGAGTGGGGCATTTTTGGGGTGGGGGGTGCATATCCCCCCCTGCACGCATCAGCCAAGCAGGGTGGGGGTCCTGCTCACCCCGCTCTGCCTCCCCCCCGCAGGGAAGCCCCCCAAGACCTTTGGAGGAGCCCTCGGTGCCCTGGGCTTTAGAGGTGAGCACTGCCACTGGCTGACCCCCCGCCCCGCTGGGGCTGGCTCCTGCACCCCCTGCCCTTCTCCCAGCCGCCCCCCCCGGGGTCTGGGGGTGCAGGGAGGGGCTCATCCTCTGCATCCCCCCCTTCCCAGGCGGCGTGAGCTGCGCACAAGGGAAGTACTGCGGCAGGAAGCGGAAGTAACCGCTCGCCGTCACCGATGACCTCATGAACTTTGGTGCTACTGCATGGTCCAGAATGTAAATCCCAAGCAAAGCTGAGACACCCCCACCCCCCCACCCCAAAACCCCGGACCCCCCCCACTGCCCCGGCCATCCCCGGCCCCCC